AGAGGGTATTCTCACAGGTTGTATGTACTGTGTACCTTTCCTTATCACCAAAACAAGCTCAAAGGAGTGATACATTTGGCCCTCAAACCATCAATCAAGCAATTTTCATGCATGATGACTAAAGGACCAATTTGTACAAGTTCAACGAATGCAAAACAAGACTCAAATGCCATCACCCTATTTTGCATGATCAAGGGCAATGGAGACCTAGGAAAGTGACACATTTCATCACTTTTGAATATGAAATGTCTCATTTTCCTTGTGTTCAAATTAATGTCCGATTTGAACACATGCAATATAACACAAAGAAATGTTTATCTTGCCACTTTTACTTGTCAATTTTGTTTACACATGTTAGTTATCAAATCATTCTTTATCAATTTGTCCATTGGTGAGTATCCCCTAAGATGAAAGAAGTGTCAACCAAGGGATAATGTAAGGCAAGAAAGAGATCATGCCGTTGACAATGAACCCTCAAAGAAGATTAAACCATTAAGCATGACCTCCATCTCAAGCTTAAAGGATCCCAAACTTGAAACAACCCTCAAAAGCAAATGAAAGATTGAAGCAAAGAGGGAGGTTGCAGAGTTTATAGTGTTGAAATGAAGTGAAAAACAACACTAAAAGATGCTATCAACTCAAACAAGAGGTGTCTAAGACCCTAAAACACCAACTTGAGAGGACTATTACACTACAACCATGCAAAACAAGACTTAACCAATCCAAATAGCCCAAAACAGAGCTAAAACATGCTCTTTTAAAGGCAAAAACATGCTAAAATTAAGCTAAAACAAGCTAGAAAAATGAGCTAACACATGGCATCAACTACGCTAGCAAACAAGACACAAGGAAGAGAGGCTAACCCCTCCAATTTTGGACTTCAAAACAAGTTTTTTTTTTTACTGAAAAACCCCTGAAATTCAGTGGTTAAAGGCCCAAAAAAAGGTAATTTTAAAATGGGAAACAAAATCGCAAAGGCCTTAACAACAAGGAATAAAAATGGATGAACCATGATAGTAGGAGACCTCAAATAGCAAAAGGTCCTTGATCAAACATGAAAAGGAGCTCAAAATATGACTATTTACCGTTTGGGTCGGAGCCCAGAAATGCTTGCAAGCAAGGCTTAGATATAGAGCAAGATAGGAACAAAAAAGAGGGAAAAGAAGCTTACCCTTGAAGACCAATGGACCAGCAGCTCTTGGTCTGAGAAATGGTGCTCCTAAGCTCTGAAAAACAACTCCAAGTTGTTCGAATAGATGGTGGTGGGGTGTATACCAAAAATCGGAGCAAACGGAGGTGGTTAAATGGTCCCGAACCGAGGCACACGGCCGTCGGCTTCGAAAAACCGAAAACCGGGCTCCAAACGGGAAAAATGGCCTACGACCACGAAACGTAGCCTACGCCCACTGAGAGATGATCTACGAGACCTCTCCCTCCCTTTGGGAAGAGAAAACAGAGAAAAGGGAGCCTGGTTCGCAAACCGAAGCAAGACACAAAAGAGCCCGGAAGTCCGGAGGCAAGGCTCGCAGCCGAGACTTTGAAACTTCTGAACGAGCACAATATGCAATATCACCGAGCGCTCAATCGGTGACGTCTGAGTCTTAAGGTCGGAAAAAAATGGGGTGTCTACACAAGCAAAGAATTTCAGAATTGAATCTTAAAGCACACAAGATTATCCAAGAAGCACAATTACTTGAAAACACAATGTACACGGTCTGTAGAAGATTCCTCATGAAAGAAAGTGATGCCACATGTGAAAAGAATAGATCTCATGATAAAAGTGTGTGTGTGATTCTTGGAGTTCGACAAACACAAGATTTAAATCCTAGCAGTGATCTGAAACTGGACCTCCGACAAGAGAATCTAAGCATAACAAAGAAAAGTCAAACCACTAGGAATCAAGGGGTATTTGGTGAGTAAAAGCAGAGACTCCCCCTCAATTAATGAATCTATTCATTTTTTTTTATTCCTTTCTTTTGCACATTTTTTTTTCTTTCTTTTGCATATTTTTTCTTCTTCTTTTTATTTTTATTTTTCTTGTGCACACTCATTAGCCAGACATGCTCAAGAGTATGGAAACCGAACCAGAGAAGCATGGATATAATAAGGATAGCCTAGTTGGTGACTCTGAGGTAGCATTTTCCTCGTGGCTGGACTATAAAGAATAGAGGGGGGAAGCCGTGGAGATGCAAAAAGATGGAAGGTGGTCAAGAGACTCAACATCACCCAAGATATGCTAGTATCGGTCAATTCCTCTAGAAAACAAAGATACCATGCCAGAAGTCCATAGAGAAAAAAGATCACTGAGGCGGAAGACTCCAATATTTGTTAATCCAAGAGTGTATACAGAATGAGACATACTAATCAAAGAACACACACTTTGAAATGAGTAATGACCACAGAAAGCACACACATATTAACATGTAATGGATATTCTCATCAATTCCAATATGCACCAAGGACCACTCAAAAATTTCAAGTTTGCAAAACTATACTAAGAAAATCTTTTTGGGATTATTATTTTTTTTATTTTTTATTTTTTAAACAAAGCAAGTCAGAGAACGAGCACGCACACACTAAATGACTCAAAAAAAAAAAAAACATACAAAAACCCAAAAACTAAAACTGATAAACAAATTAACACAAATCAAGTTTTCTCACCCAAACCGTTTTAGTATGAACAAAGTTGTGAGAATGGCGGTTCTTGGGTGGAGTCTTGACATTGTGGTTCCCTTCCCTTTCAATGGGAACCTGTCTCGACATGGTTTCCAACTTCTTATTTCTAAGTATAGGCAAATACAAACTCGCTCCATGTTTGGTCTCAAGCAAACCAAAATAACGAGGTCTAATATGACCCTTAATCTCATTACCACCAATGAAGTGTCTCCTACCCCACGAGATGTTAGAATTTCTTCCATCTCTATGAGACACTCTCCCATGCAACTCAAAACAATAAAGGCGAATATGACCATACTTATCACAATAATGACATAAAAACAGGGTGTATAAGATGTACCTTCTTTTCTTTGGCCTTACCAACTCTAGGAAGATTGAGAAGTCTATCCTCATGTTGAATTTTTTGTTCTCCCTTCCCTTGAGTTCTTATATCATAAGATGTGGAAGCACTCTGTTTTTGCTCTTTCTTACCACCAAAGCCAATGCCACTCTTGTCAGAACAAATTTGTTGAGACCCAATGATATTGTCCAAAGTCTTTGATCCTCTATTCCAAAGACCAATGGTAGCCATAGCATACTTGAGTTCTTCCTCTTTCTTGATCATTAGTTCTTCCAAAGCAACTTGAGACATCTCGAGAGTTTCAATTTTTTCTTCATATGTTGCATAGATTTGTTGTAGCTCATTCCTCTCTGTCTCACAAGTCAAGAGTTTTGCATAAAGAGCTTGTCGATCATTAAAAATCTTAAGGGCATCATTCCTAGCCTCGGAAATCTCTTTCTTTAATTTGACATTCTTATTTTCACATACTTTGAGTTTCGTAGTGAGTTTGTCATTCAATTTGAATACGTTAAGGGATTCCTTATTCAACTTTTGATATGCTTGCTGAAGTTCTTCATCTTCACTCCCCGAGGATTCATCATCAGTGCCATTCTCAATCGGGCTCTACGGATACTCTATTCGTCCATCAGTTTCAGAAGCTGCCATGAAGGCAAGGAATTGTTTGTGTCCCTCTTCTCCTTGATCTTCGTTGTCACTTTCATCTTTATCAGATTCTGATTCATCATCCCAAGTGATAGCGAGGGCTTTCTTCTTCCTCAAACGAGTGGGGCATTCTTGAGCAAAGTGGCCAAATCTTTGGCATTCATAGCATTGGACTTTTTCAGAGTTCCCTTGTATCTTTCCTTTCTCCTTCTTGGCTATCGAATTAATTTTGAGTTTATCTTTACCTGTGGATTTATGAGTATGAGTAGAGTCCAAAAGATTAGGATTCTTTTTCAAAAAAGATTTTTTAAATTGTTTTACAAAAGTATCCGTAATCTTGGAATCTATTTCACAGTTTTTTTCTGTAACAACCCAGATTTTTAATTATGCTATAGAATTTATACTAATATTATTTAATCTCAGTTCAG